TGAGTCAACTCTTCTCGATATCTGGATACCTCTCGCGATTTTCTCTGCATTGTGGATTGTTGTGTTTCTACAGTATCACATATGGCGTAATGATCGATAATCACGTGACGATCGACATTATCCCTACCCCCAATGCAGTAATCTCTTAATATATCCACCAACCCTTGCAATATTCCGGCAATGAAAACAATGAATATAGGCTAAAATAACTCAAAAAAACCAAATATCATATTCTCAAGATACCCAAATTTACCCTGAATCCGCTATAACCACCAAACGCTCAATACCTTCTACAACCCCCCCTCTACCATGACCACCCCGACCACCCCGACCACGTAGCCTACTACGACCTCTACTAGCAGCCGTAGGCTCCCCATATGTTCTTTCTATCAGATGCGTTAGTATCAACTCAAGTGGGTTAGTAGATATAGAGATATACTCACCACAAAGTGTCATAAATGACATTGCATTCTCCAACCTGCGCAAATCAGCCCCCTCGGCATCAAACTTCGAGCGTTTTGTGACTCTTGGTCGAGCTATATTCCCGCGACCACGCCCCCTAGCACCCTGAGCACCATTCCTTGTGCTTTTTAATCGCACAGGCACTTCCTTTGCTATCTTGGCTTTCTCTTCCTTAACCAGCCTCCGTGCTTCTCGGTTTGCAGCTTTATCGGCCTCGAGAGCCTTAGCAGTTGCAATCCGTGCTTTTTCACTCTCAATATAGGCTCGATCAAGAGTTCGGGGGCCCTGGATTCACTTTGTTGATCGAGGCTTTACCGTCTTGCCATTTCGAAGCTGTTTGAGCTCTTGGGAGGAAGGATCAATAACCTGGTACTGAATAACTCTTTTTTCGAGATGATTGAGCCCTTCATCGACAGTTGCTCTTGAGTGGGGGGTCATAGTTAATTTTGAGAGGGTTGACCGCATGCTAGCCACCTTAACTGGAGTTGAGAGAGCGGGGGGTCCAAACTGGCAGCAATAGCACTAGTGGCAACAACTCAATCAAGCACCTCCTCCGGTCGAAGTGGCTATATTCCAGTGGCTTCAAATCCACTAATAATATTAGATTTGGTAAGTGCTTGATCACGTGCAATGCAGAAGCAATCCCAAAACTCCGGCTTTCCAAACGGCTTGCCAGGATTGTAATAGGGGTATTCAAAGTTAAGATTTTCGGCCCAAAAAAACGTTTTTTTCAGATCGGTGGTTTTTCATTTTTTTCGTTTTTTGCGACCATCGCCACACAAACTTTTTTGCGTCGATTTCGCACAGAAAAGACCGAAATCGACCCCGTTTAAACGCAAATCTGGCCCTTTTTTTTGCGAATTGTGCCAAGAACAGCAAGGACAACGTGGGTTAGCCTTAGTGAAAGGCTAGTCTGAATTCGTAGTAGGCACAAGGGTGTTAGATCCGCCAGAGGGGGGCCCAGGCAAATCCCGCCTCTCAGCGACTGTGTCAAATATCAAATACAGAACTTCACGTGAGCTAACAAGAGCGATTCAGTGACCAGACTTCTTTGACAGCCCTCATCCCACTAAATATCCCAATAACATATCCCAATAACCCTTGCCCCACTAAGCCCTCCCCTGTCCGACTATACATTCCAATAATCTTCCCCTCCTCAGCCCTCCCCTCATCCCACCATATATCCCAATAACCCTCCCCCCCACCCCACCATATATCTTAATAACCCTCCCCCCCTCAGTCCCTCCCATATCCCACCATATATCCCTATTACCCCCTCCCCGACGCTGTGTATCCCCTTTTCTTCACGCCTCTGTTTCTGGTAGTCCTAAGGCGGCGTATGTTACACCCCCATTTATTTTTGCCTTCACATGCCTCATGGCTCTCCTCACCAGTTGTCTATTTGTGAGTCCTCCGCCAGCCACCATATTGGCTACGACTCTTGCCGCCAAGTCAGTAACATAGTCTGCAACCACCACTCTGAACTAAACTACCTGCTTGCCAGTTAGTTCGTCCTCTTCCTCGTAGCAGAGTACCCTTAGCCCTCCCCTGGCATCACTCTCATGGATTGCGTCAGGAAATGCGGCTTTATGCTTCGCCTCTAGGTCGGCTAGCACCCACTGTTGTCAGTGTATCCGATGCCGACGACTTTTGTCTCCATGATATCCCCTGACCCAGTTCGATCATACAAACACCTGGCTTCCCGATACTTCTTGAGCATAATCCCAATTGCACCCTTGGTTTTGATTCCTCGAGGATCCAGGTGACCAATCCGGAGATCGATCGCCCACTGCTTTGCCACGTTGATCCGAGTACCGCAAACATACGTTGAGGCGTATTCATCTCGTAGCTTGTATGCCAACAGCTTTCCCAGGTGTGTATTCCACTTGATGCTCCCCTTCGCCCCCCCCTCTACCCCCACCACCATTTCATCCTCTTGGCTCTCTTTTGGTTGACTTCTTCTGAGATCGTATCCGGTTTGGCCTCATCTACACCCCGAGTTAGCTATGACTTGATTTACCGCGATTCTCAACCCCAGACCCTACCTCGATATATCCCTAACTCGATACGTCGTAGTGGTGTGTTGAAATGTGGGGGACCTGTATCAAACCAATTACGTCTATCAAACCAATTACGTCGAAACCTAGTCTCATGGCACATGTGCCAACCTGACTAATAACTTAAAGCACTAACTACTTTTGCCCTAGCTTTCCCCTTAGCCTTAAATTCAATACATGGGGATCTTGGGAAATTTCTACGTGGAGTAAACGGGGTTTTGGGGCGCATAAAAAGCTGCTTTTTTCGCCCTTTTTCGCGGGGTACTCAAAGTTAGGCCGTTTTTTCCAGCGTAAAAAACGCACAAGAATTTTGGCTCCAAATTTAACTTTGAATACCCCTAATATATGAAGTCCTGGAGGGTGGTGCGGTAGGCTCGTGACAGGGGTCCAAAACATGCTACATCTAGAGGCTTGCATTAGGTGTGTTGAATGTGGTGGAAGACAATATATGACATACCATGGTCAAGACCATATTCAACAACAGGGTAAGCAACATGACTGCTATGGCCATCCACAATGAGCATGCGCCAAATAGAGAGCTTCGGGGGTGTTGTATAGGGATCAAAATGCTTAGATATATAATCTAAACCTAGATCATCATCCATATACCCAGTAGGTGACCGACTAAAGGTTGCAGGCCTTGTATCACCAGTGATATACCATCCATCACAATGAACCTTATTCACCCATACAACAAATGGCGGTATCACGTGACCTACAGTACTGATAGTCTCAAGTGAGGAGCAAAATTCCCGATTTCCATCAGTTAATACAACTTTATTGCGGCTATTGGCATTAGCACGAACTATTGCCTTTTGTCGACCAACTGCCAGGCCTATGATAATGCCCTTTTCATCGCAGTTCCATAGGTATTCAGGTCTGATTTTGTACTTCCACATGAGACTCCGTAGTGTGCGATACCATTTAGCTTGCTCCTCTAATGTTGCAGCAACTTTAGCTCGAGTCTTCTCCAAATATTGACAATACTTGAGCTTAATACTGGGGTGTCGGGAAAGGAAACGCCTAGCCCACTGGGCACCAGGAATGATTTTCTCTTTAGGACTGCGAGCTTGCAGAATCCGGATAGCCATCGACACTAGCATTAGTATTGTGACAGGGAAGTAGAGGTCGCTCATCCTTCCACACCAGTCAACTACCGCTTCCTCTTCACCAGCAGTGAGAAGTTGCTGTGATTGCCGAGCCTTATATCGTGGTGCTTGTACCCCCTGGCACCTCCGTCGTAGTGTAGTAGGATTAACTCCGAATGCCTTGGCTACTTTAGCCTTAGACTCCTTGGGGTGCTTTCTCTGTTGCTCGTGTTAGTTGCGAATCATGCAACTTGAGCTCTGATTGTAGCTCTTTTATCTTTTTAGAGGTTTTTGGTGGCATAGTATTGATAATATCGGCAGTGCAGCGAAAGTCGTGATATCCGAGCGGGGGTTTGAAATAGCGATCGTCACGTGGTTATCGATCGTTACGCCATATGTGATACTACTACTCCGTATCTCTGTAACCAGACTAGTATCTCTGAGTGTCAAGCTTTTTACTTTCCACTATCGCGTTGTCGCGTCTTGAGGTCAAAGCGCCTCGCAACCCCATCCATTACGTTAGTGGTTGCACTGCTTAGCGTGCACATGGGATCGCAGTGGCTTCAGATGGCTGATCGCGGCGTTGAATTTAGACGCAACAAGATGAAGGTAAGGCGGGGTTGAGGCCAAGGTCATGGAGGCGAAGGTCATGGAGGCGAGAAGGAAAGAAATCCCCTACCTCATCTTGTTGTTCTTGCCAGCGAGATCGCAGTGGCTTCAGATGGCTGATCGCGGCGTTGAATTTAGATGCAACAAGATGAAGGTAAGGCGGGGTTGAGGCCAAGGTCATGGAGGCGAAGGTCATGGAGGCGAGAAGGAAAAAAATCCGTTGTTCTTGCCTGCGAGATCGCAGTGGCTTCAAATGGCTGATCACGGCGTTGAATTTAGACGCAACAAGATGAAGGTAAGGCAGGGTTGAGGCGAAGGTCATGGAGGTGAGAAGAGAAGAAATCCCCTACCTCATCTTGTTGTTCTTGCCAGCGAGATCGCAGTGGCTTCAAATGGCTGATCACGGCGTTGAATTTAGACATAACAAGATGAAGGTAAGGCGGGGTTGAGGCGAAGGTCATGGAGGTGAGAAGAAAAGAAATCCCCTACCTCATCTTGTTGTTCTTGCCAGCGGGATTGCAGTGGCTTCAGATGGCTGTTCGCGGCGTTGAATTTAGACGCAACAAGATGAAGGTAAAGTGGGGTTGGGGTAGGTAGAGGGAAGAAAGAAAGGATGCGAAGGTTAGGGATGCAAGAAGGAGGGTTGCGGGGTATTGTGGGCGGCAATGATTTTGTGGGCCAAGGTTGCCACGGCAGTCACTTAGGCTCATAGCCTTAGGCTTCGCTGCGTACAACTAGTGTAATTTCCCTCATAATTTCTATGAACAACCTTGGTTACGCAATTGGTTGAATGGTGTAACGGTAGCACATAAGATTTTGAACCTCCATTGAGGAATATTCTTGTGACCTGGGTTCGACTCCCAGTTCGACCTTCCTGTTTTTTCTTTTTTTGGGTTTATATCACTGCCAAGCCCACTAACCTGCTTACTTAAGAACCTAGGATCATTCAGAAGTCAGCAATTACACGGGCGGCTTTCCACTCCTCCATTCGCCCTTACCGTAACTTATACCACGCAACATTCATAATGTCGTCAGCAAAGCAATCCACCTCAACAGGCAATAACACTGCTGCAGCAGAGGCAAAACCGGAGAAGCCGACTAACCATGGGTTCTCGCTGGAGGAGGATGATGAGTTTGAAGATTTCCCGGTTGAGGGTGAGTTCTCACGTGCAGTTCTTCCACCGGGAATTGAGAGTGAGAATAAGAGATGTGGGGTTCGTTAGTTGGCTAGGATGGTGTGCTGATATGATGGGTTTGATAGACTGGGAAGATACCGAGTCAGAGCAAAAAGCTAGCAAGGCGAATCTGTGGGAGGAGAGCTGGGATGACGATGATACGAGTGATGACTTTGCGGAGCAATTAAGGTGAGCAGGCATTACTCCCTGTTATGGTTCGGTATGGGTATAGGATAAGAACTCGAGGCTTATGTTTTGATTTTTTCGATCGCTAGGGTGGAGTTGAAGAAGGTGGAGGGGAAGTAATGGGCTTGATGGGGAGGGGGAAGATGGGTGGGGGAGTAAAGGGTGTTTCCTTTCTCCGATGACTTTGTCTTACGTCTATCATCTCTTAGCCTGAATCTAGGATGGTGGGGTGACAGGAGTGTGCGGAGGGCGTTCCATGGGCCGAGACTGGGATAGCCCTATAACAATAATAGTCACGAAGGGCTTATTACCTCTGCCGCTGCACTTTCTGCGCTGATATCTGTCTATCTCTATGTCAACAAGCAGTACTCACTTATTCCGGCTCCATGGGGGCAAGAAGTGCGAACTGTTTCATGGTTGGATAGCACTTTCACCCATAAGTAAAATGCCCCACACCCTCTGTGCCGGGTTACGCTTTCCTCTGCCCTTTCTGTGCTTGACTAATGTCTTGGGAGCGTGGATTTTATTTGCCTCTCCTTCCTGGCTCTGCTGTCGGTTATCATCACTGATATATAACATTATTTTTCTGCTTCCTCCCACTCCATAGTGATTATGGGTTCTCATCTAGGTTCTCCAGCGAACTCCAGTGAGGCCTCCCTCCACTCCGGCCTACACTGGTCCTGAGTGGAGACCGCATAGCGACTGCGGCGTGAAGAATACGTTGTGCTCCAAAATAATGCTGTTACCATTTGTGACCATGGCAAAGTCACCACGAGGCGGGGGGAGATTTTCTCCACCGTTCAATGTTCACGATGCGAATGATATCAGTCTAGGAATAGAATATTTATGTATTTACAGTGCTCTGGCCATTTCTTCGACGGCGGTACAGGTATTCCTATCAAACATGAAACTATCATTTAATTCTATAACTTAGTATTAACCTCCCAAAAGAGGCGGGGGAAGTTCTTCTCCACCGTTTAAAAGCCTGCGATGCGGACAGTGGTATTAGTCTAGGAATGAGTGTTTATGCATTTGCAATGCTCTGGCCAGGTATATTATCACCAATCATCATAATATCATTAAATCGATTAACTCAATATTTTTTCCCTTCCCCACATCCGGTGCCGCGGCTCTTGAGAGATGCCGTTTCTGCAATGCAGTCCTGTCACGATGAGAACCCTTTTTGTTGGAAACTGTATAATATTACCCTGAACTAGAACAGACGCCGGGCCACCGGCGGGTGCTGCGTTCTTTTTGCTTTTTCCTGTGTTTTTGGTATTTGCTTTCTCCCTTGTTGTTTTGCTGCTGACTTCCTTCGTTTACAATAGGCTTTTAATTGTTGATTTTAGGGATCAAGATATATGCTTGTTGTCGTCTTTGTTACCTTTGTACTTGTGTTCACTGGAAGTTACCGTACATTACATACCCACAAGCTTCCGAGCGCATGCATTTTTAACACTGCTTGCTGTTGTATATATCTGTACACATGCAACTTGCCAGTTCTGACAAAGAAAAGATAGTATCACACAGCATTATAGTCGCCATCCTATATGAGACAATGACCCACTGCCTAATTCTACAAATTTTCGAACAATATTCTTCTTCGGCTACGTACTCGAAACCAACAGCCTTCGAAAGTTACATGTAACCGATTACCCACTTGATTCTTGCACTCTGCGCAGGATTTCATAGGAATATTACGAGTTGCATTGGAGTTTTTCCATTGCATTGTTGGCATCCCCAGATATCCTTTCACAACCCAGCGGATTCAATCCGACTAGAAAATATTTTGTCGGCGTTGAAATAGCAAGGGATTGAAAAGAACTTACTCTATAGATAGAAGCCAAAGTGGATGGTACAGTCTGATTATCACTGAACAATCTTTGGTCTTTGGTTTCCTAGAGTCGTGCTGAGCATTGCGATTCTCTCAGTTGGTGCCTAGTCGTGCTTGGCGATGTTTGGGCACTTATCGCTGCCTCACGTGCCGATAACCAAATCTGCCCCACTATGATACAGCTCTAAAGACCTCGGTCCTGCTACCCAGCCTATCCCCTCCCAAGTGCATTATCACCATGGCGGACCCTACCCCCACCAAAACTCTAATCAAACAAGGCGCCGAAGCCCACCTCTATCACACGACCTTTCTCACTCCCGCGCTGCCCGCGCTGCTAAAACACCGCCCCTCCAAGCCCTACCGGCACCCCATCCTCGATGCGCGGCTCACCAAACACCGCTGCCTCTCCGAAGCCCGCCTACTCGTGCGCATGCGCCGCGAGCTGGACAAAGCCCGAATCACCTCCGGGTTGAGGGGCGTGGCGGTCCCAGCGGTGTATTTTGTCGACGAAGCCCGGGGGGAGATATTCATGGAGTGGATCGCGGGACGGACACTGAGGGACGAGCTGGATGAGGCGCTGCACTCCGCATCCACATCCCCTCCAACTTCCACGCCCACACTGTCTCCACCCCCAGACCTGCGAAGCCTCATGGCTCGCATCGGCGCCGCAGTAGCCGCAATGCACGCTGTCGACGTCGTCCACGGGGATCTCACAACGTCAAATATCATGCTCCGCCCCTTGCCTGATGGAAATGCGTGGGGCGAGGTGGTTCTGATTGATTTTGGTTTGGGCTCGGTTAGTACCAGCGACGAGGATATGGCTGTGGATTTATATGTGCTTGAGAGGGCGTTTGTTAGTACGCATCCGAGGGCGGAGGAGTTGCTCAAGGAGGTGTTGGTGGGGTATGAGAGGGGAATGGGGAAGAAAGGAGCGCAGGTGATGAGGAGGCTGGCGGAGGTGAGGCTGAGGGGGAGGAAGAGGAGTATGCTGGGGTAGAAAGATGATGGGATTGCTGCCAGCTTTTTTCTTTGTTTATTGGCTTGTTCGGCGTTCATATGCTGGGAATACATAAAAACGATGAAGGTGCTTCTTTTCTGAAATGAATAGATTATGGCCCAAGAAATAATAGATATATGTACCAATATCGATATATACAGGGATATCTGAAGAAAATAAAACACCTATGCTGCGCCTGTGAAGTAATAGTGACCGTGGTCGTTGATAGTCCATCCATAGGAGTATCATAGCCTCTCATTGCATCTCATTCCCTTCCATGTTATCCTGATCTTCTATCCACTCCAATACCTGTATCTGTCGACAGTGTCGGAGACTGTCCCTCTGGCGCCTTTTAAACTCCATACACCTCCGCGTCCGGATCCTTAGGTATATCCATCAGGTTGACATGTCCAGTTCCTACATCATATACGAACCTTTTCACCAGCAATGCAATTAGCGCTACGTGTTCTCCCACAAACAATTCCTTTCTCCGGGATCCGAAAGGACTTACCCATGCACCTGCAACCCCCTCTTTTTCATAGCTTCCAGCACATTCGAATTCCTCTTTACACTATGCACCTGCGCCACAACATTCAACTCCACCAGCCTCTTGGCTCTCTGCACCGGATCCTTAATCGCCTCAAGCTCCCGCCTATGTCGAGCCCGGACATCGCGGATATGCTTGAGCCAGTTGTCTATAAGCCCCATTCTGGTGTTACCCATGGCAGCAAGGATGCCACCACAGCCATAGTGCCCGCAGACAATGATGTGTTTCACCTGGAAGAACCCCCACATCAGCTCCATATCCTATAGATAGTTTGGGGCGAATGGATTACCTCGAGCACCTCAATTGCATACTGCAGCACACTCAGACTACTCAAGTCATTCGCTGGTAACACATTTGCAATATTTCTGTGCACGAAAACTTCCCCCGGTAGTAAATCCAGCACGGAAGTTTCTGGTACACGAGAGTCGCTGCATCCTATCCAGAGGGTATGAGGGGATTGGGAGTTGGCGAGAGAGGGAAAGAGGGAAGGCTGGAGAGCAGATATACGTTGGGCCCAGGTTCGGTTTCGTTGGAGGAGGGTGTGGATGCTGTCATGTGCAGCGGAGAATCGAAAAACACTGCGCATTTGCGGTTGAGTGTTTGGGATATGTGATGCCTTGATGGGTGGTATTTAAGTGGGCGCAGAACAGCAAGAGGAGGATATCGAGGGAGAAATTAAAGCAAAGCGGACTGAAGGTTCAGAAAACAAAGCAAAGTGTGATATATGCCTAGTCCACTTTAGCTACTGGAGAAATAGTTTACAATTCCCATTCGGCCACTATTTCCTACGCCATATCATTGTTGACCATTGCCTCATACTGGTTCGGAGAGTTCGCCGGCCGCAGTGTGATTGGGTCGGCAAGGTCATCACCGATCCCTACTGTAAACGGGTAGTTGAACTCATCGCAGCGGTGGGATGCAGGGGGCTGCTTAAGCTTAACTGTACGATGCCTCAATGTCGAAGCACTTTTTTTAGGCCAATCTATGCTATCATGTGAGCATCGAAGAGAGAGAGTGGGGGAGAGGGGAGGGAGAGGCAGGGACGGGAGGTGCGAGGTACGGTGCAGCCGTTGCCGGACGGGCTTAGTTTTCCTCGCAGCGCAGCCAGACCAATCGTAGCGGTGCCCGTCGGG